TGTACATTCGGGAGTGCAGCTGGCGATGATCGCAGCCGTCAGACGTGTTTTCGAAACGCCTGATGAACCCCCCTTCGATTGGCTGCCGAGGGGCAGATCGAGAGCTGCGAAGTCGCTTCCTTTCGGTAGAGGTGGTGGTACGACGAGATTACCGTACTCGGATTCGCTAGAGTCATCTTTCATTCGTTTCGAAAGGCCACAGTGCTTCTCGTACGCTGGACAGAATTTAGCCAATTTGGCCATGCCAGCTGAGTCCAAGTCGGCCGAATCGTCTTGGCAGAAGTTACGGTAGTGATCGAGATGCTTGGCGCAATACCGCTCGACTTTATCTGCACGACGAATACGAGATGGCAGAGCTGAAATTAGTGAAATGAAGTGTGTGAATGGGCAAAATCAAGGCTAGGTGCGCTTGCAGTAGGTCCAGTACTGCCCGAAGTGTAAATGATAAGGGGTGAAAAGGTTTTAGTGCGAATTGAAGCGTCACTGTATGAACCGGTTGAATATGTAAAAAGAGAGAAATATCAAGTGAAAGGCATCTTCACTGCACTTCGAGTAGCGGACGGGACCATCGCAGCTAGCAGCAACACATTGACCTTAGCGGTACAGGTATAGGAGCCTCACCTTCAATAAAGCTTCCTGCGACGAAAGCGAACAGGCAAATTGAACGGATCATTGTGGCTTATGTGTGAACGTAGTGGATGGAGGCCTATTTCCATGAACTCGCAGAAGACTGCGTGCTGAAGGAGCGCGAAACCGCGCTTATATTCTACGCTTGCTCCGCCCATGACCATGATTGGTCATAGAGATCAGACCACGCCTTTGGCGTAACTTTGAAGATCGGCCCACCCGCCGGTGATGCCAAATTTAGCCATGGACGGAAGAAGATTCTCTCAGCGAAGGACGTGGAAGAGATTGCACCGAAAGCGGAGAGCGCTCTAGATAATGCGCGTCGCACATGTGACTGATTAGGGGATCTCCATCAGTAGGCGGTTTTTTGGGACGAAAGATCTGCACCATAGTTTACATTTCCTACGCTTATGGCACACATTTATACCATTCACGTTCTTGAACAGACAAGCAAAATGTGCAAACTGAGTGCAACTTTGGCAACGCATTCTTACATGTTACGTTCTGTTAGTACAGAATGTTCCTCCTTTCTAAGGTCCTACCGATATTCTGACTAAAGAGTTCATTGTCCTCTTCTGAAGAAAGGGGCTATTTTTGGGTTACGTCCTGTCATCAATCAGTCCTTCTCACCATGTCCTTGATCTTAGCGTCAACGCAGTATATCAATGTCAATCATAGCTGGGAACTGTAAGAAAAATCGTCGTGAGATATTCTGTTTCCTTTACTGATAAGTAATGGCTCCGGAATAGCATACTCCATAAAGTAACCTTCCAGAAGCGTTAGACCTAGCCTCGTCCTACGCTGTTCATGGCCACGTGGTCAGAAAACCAGCTTCCTAAAAACCACTCTGAGCGGTGCAGTGTTGCTCTCCCATTTTTGCGCTCGAAAAAATCCTTCGTGGTCCAGTCTTCCTAGGTAGAACGTTGGGCCTCATTAAGCACTAGCAATTTTTTCTTCAGTGCTGTATTACTTGCGCCGCTTATAATCCTAACCACTTGTTCGACTATTGAATAATTCTCCTCCGCAGCACTGACATACCGATATTCTCTCATCCGGACTGGTTTGGCTTTAGAACGATTTTAAGTGGAAAGAATTTATGGATGAACATTAGCTCGGTTAGGTTTCTGGATAAGTGCGTGAGCTCCGTCATTTCGGCTTCAAATGTTAGTACAGTAAAATAAGGCGTTGATGGTCCTTGGATTCAAGCAGTCTCTGCTAACAAAATTAATTGACCGATAATCTTTCCCAGATACGGTAAGGTAGTAATCAGGTGTTATTGTATTCCATAGATGTTCTACAACTGACCGTCCTCTCGCTACCGCATTTACTATATTCCAGATTCCAGGTAAATGCGCATAGCTGAGATTAGGGTACAAGGCACTGGTCTGTAGGTTTGTGCGCTAGTCCTGTCAAAGCGCGCAGCAGCAAGCAGGCCTTGACTGAAAACTATACAATAGGGCCACACTTTGGGTTCACTTTTCGGTGAACGTCAATGACTTTTTTCTTCGAATCGTTTTCTTTACAAATGTCCGTATTAAAGAATTGGACACAAAATTATTTTCACAGTGCCACTATTTTGGACACAAACCACATTTCCTTGGTTGACTGCTGTAGCACCTGTTACTGCGTTGTCTAAATATTGTAGATTTTGAAAGTCAGGTTTCAGCTGTGTCCAGGTGGAAGATAAGTAAAGTCGAGATCTACTACATAATTACTGTTTTTGTAAGACTGTTGTTGTTTTTATCGGCAGTCCATGCAAAGCGGGATATGTCAAAAGATTCTTTGAACTTGGAACACTTTGGAGCTGCTTCTATCAGACACCGGCCGTCCTCTTCTCGAACGAAGGGAAGTCACCGCGATCATGAAGACTGCGGCCATTTCTTCTCATTTTACGTCATTTCTCTTTCAATTTGCAAGGCAGAACATCCATAGGGAACAAATTTGCGACAACGCATTGGTATTTTATCAATTGTTATATCGTTGCTGTAAACCATGTCCGATGTCGTCGTGTATGCCGTTCGACTTGTTGTCACAGTCATCACAGCACAACGCAATAGCTGACACTTCCGCTGAAGTCCTGCTGACGTTTTCCAGATTTATGACGCTTCTTCCCATTTTTAGCTCTGACTAGCTATCGTATTTTTGGCAATAGCTGATACGTTGAGTCAGGTCAGCTGAATTTGATTTCCGGCACCCTTTTGCTTCATAGATCACAAAGCACAATCTATCACTCTTCCACTCATCCAGTCAGTCGCCTTGTGGTAGGCTGCCCTTCAGAGAATCGCTTTCTCATTTCATATATCTTAGTCAGACCCCCAGTGCTCGCTCTCAACCTCATCATTCTCACTCACTGTAGCCTGTCAAGGACGGCACATTTTTGCCCAAAACATGCAATTCGTTATTACCAGCCCTAGACGCCGCAGCTGACGACACTGCGGGTGGATGGCGGACCGCGCGAGGAGACTGAGGGAACAGAGGAACAAGTGGGCGAATGATAAATGTGTTACTCCTCTGAAGAGACTAAGATTTCCTAGGTTTCTGAACAACACTGTGAAGGCGATCTGACCGTCGATCATGATCTCGCGCTCGCGAGACGGCCACGATGATGCCATCTCTCATGCCGAGCGCTGGCGCCAACCACGACTACCCCGCTGATGGCATGTGATGTCTGGAATTTGAAGTTGTGTCGAAGACGACCATGAGCTCAGTGGGTGGCCATGCTTTTCCATCATTGATGTCAAAATAGGAAACATTCAAAATAGAAGTCGCCGCGTTGGGTCCTAAGCGGGCGTGAGAGTGATGATGAGAGTCATTACGCACACTCCCTAGAAGGTCTGTAATCTTTAAAGCATCACACTCGCTGTAAACTGGTCATGAAGCTTTGCCTAGTTTGAGATTGGTGAGCTGGATATGGTTATCCCTTTAGAACTATTCGTTTATTGGCAATATTTGAGAGATCGGCGGAACCTCAATACTCTCAAGCGCGACCGTGAATAGGATGTTTTGTATCAATGTGGAGCCCTCGTCATGATTTCTATATCCCATTCTTATTATTCTCATTCTTTTTCCTCCGGAAATCGAAACGAAATTAAGCACGTATTATTTGGATTGTATGGCACTTTGATTTTTATGCGAGACGTCGAATGGATTGGAAAACGGAATTCAGTTGCTCGTTGCTGCCACAAATAACCGCTAGTGTACTTGGGTGTGTGTGCATAGTTTCAATGGCTTGGTGCTCTTACACCCTCCGGGAGATTTGGGTTGATGATTTCAATGCTGGGAACTCGGTGGGGCCAATTCGAGTTCCGACCAATTTGATTTACTACACCTAGCTAACGGGTGACTAGTTGTATTATTTTGTATTACCGCTTCGTCTTGATGCCTCCTCCTTCCACAGAGTCTCCATTCAGTATACTATATTTCAGCAATTATCCTAAGAATGCTGAGCTATGGGCAAAACACTCCTCCCCAGGCGGGGCTCAAACCTTGCTTGAAGGACATTCGTACCGTAATCTGTTAGCTGGCAGTCAGAGACAAGTCAGAACTGTGTTGCAATTTGTTGAAATCGGTCAACATGGAAGTTTGGGGGAATTTTTTGAATCTCCAATTTCCTGATCGGCTTCTCCTAAGTTGTAGCTTTTAATGCTATTCCTGAATGTGATACCACACGACCGCCACACAATAGTTTGAGTAATTTCAATCATTGTACCTAGAAAAGTACGAAATTTCCCGTTTTTCACGCTCGAGTTCTTACGTTTGATTTACTCGTACGTGATACCATCATTCCACCTTCTACACTTCATTTTATGATGGTTGTTACATATTTGTAGAGTGACGAATGGCACGACTCTTCCAACATTCACCGTTGAATGGAAACGTACAGAGAAGAACACCAACGACTGAGGCGATTGCTAACGGCAGTGGAATCGCACTCGCAAAAAAATCCCGATGAACCTACAAATGCGAAAAATCGCTCGCGCGACACTCCACGGCGTCGCGAGTCGCTTCCCTGTCAGCTAACGAATATCGGAGAGTTTTCTGGTCTTCTCGCTCTTTATTCGTCGACGGGATGGTGTTTGTGCGATTCCATTACCATCCTCGATTACTGTATAGACGCCCATCGGTTTAACCTGTCAACTTGAATGACGAAAGATCATCGGATTGAAAAAGAGAGACATCTGAAGTGCACACACCTACGTTTGCCAATATTTTGTCCTTCAACAAAAAGTCTGAGATTAGTTGCATTGCAATGTCAGGTGAGGCTACTTTGGTGAGAATCTCTTTTACTGAAAATATCACTGAACGGCCACCTGTAGTGTACATGGTCGGACTGGGGTGTTGAGCTGTGCACTTGAATGCACTGGATTTATTTGATGCGAGTGAACAGACCGATCGAGAATCATTGTGCACGTATACGCAAATATCGATTTAGTACCAATTCGAATATTCCAAAGTTATTTGTGATTAACACCAACTTTTAGTGGCGGGCAACAACGAATGCGGGCCAGACTACCACATTTCCCTTGGTGCCCTTTGGCTCGATGACACCATGCATAAAGAACGCGTACTTGTACACCTAGCTCTGGGTCAGTATTTGTTGAGTGATTTTCGAATTATTCAAATGTATTTGGCTCAGGTAGCAAGCCAAGCTGCGTTTGCAAGTCATTTCAAGATTCCACGTTTCCTTCTGTTTCTGACTCGAAGTTTTTGGTGCTGACGATGCTGAACGTTGTGAACCCTAGACAATGTCTGAAGAATTGTCAAATTACTCCACTGAAGTAAGAATAAAATCGAGATCTTGTTCCAGCAGTGAGGGTCTCATAATCGGCGATCTTTCAAAGGAAATGACGTATGCCGCCGACTCGGCTTTTCAAAATTGTAGCTACTGTAGCTACTGTAGCTTTATAAGGATTAGATGACAGCAGACCTGCCCAATGCCTCTTTACTCTTTTACGCAGATGACCACTACTTGTGTGCTACTGCATGCTATAATACTTGCTTAGAAGATGTCACTGGTCAGAATACGAGGGCGTAGAACTCATGCATGTACCGGAACAAGTCGGAAATCTCTTACTTTGTTCTGGAGGTAAATGTTATCTTTTCAAAGTTGGATGAGGTATTGGGCTAGTTTACTTTGCGTTATTACTCACTTGATCGTGTACTTTCAGTTCACATGAGCCGGCATTGAAGCTGCCACCACATCTTGCTCTGATTGTGAAGAGCGTAACCTTTGACAAAAACGTTCAACGCCGCCGGAGTGAATTATCCTGTTTCAGTTGGCTTTGCAATAAAAATGCTTGAAAGTCTTTACATGTTCCCGTTGATATTTGCCCCATCTAAACAACCATTACACTTTGAACGCGCACTCTGTCGGTTTGCTTAGCCAATTTATTGTCATCTGTGAATCAGACAGCTTGTTCGCCGTCGACGTACGACTTCGTGTAAACTGAACACAATGCATTGTCGTCGTCGGGGTGTTCGTTGTTCGACAACTACGAGGACTCATGCTGTCGACGTCCTGAGGTCACAAACTTATCACTGGCGCATTGTGTGTTATCATTTGTGTAGGGAGTCGTAGGAGTTATGCGATCAAGAAGTCAAACCGAAAATATCTCTTTCTCTCTCTTCTTTGCGTGGCGCTCTATGCGACGGCGCCGGCTGGCGAGCGGCCACCGCTCGTCTCCGCGCGTTGTCAACGAAACGTAAGAAAAGCCAGCGCTCCGCTCTCTCAAAGTCGCGCGCTGTCGTGCATTTTTGGTGATCACATCGCATACAGTATCTTATGAATATCAAAAAACGCACTTAAAAAGTATAGCAACGTCAACAGGGGGAATTCCCGTCCTAAGATGCACTCGCTTGCCTACGTGATAAGTACTGAGGGCGCTGCCACTCCCCTACAGTACTGAACGGCGTACTATCCTGGCCGCGTTTGCTTCTGGAAAGTGTGTTTGTGAAGCTGTTTTGCAGTGTGAAGGCAGGAAAGTGTTTTTCGACTATGTTGTTCGAAAGTGTGAATGTTTGATCAGATGTGTACTTTTTCCCGTGGGTGAACGCTCTGCGACGCGACTTTAAAGAGCGTTGGGTATGTCCGTTCGCAGGCACATCTCCACCAAATCGGCTGCCTTCATCACCATTCAAAATCACCATCGAAAAAATTTTGCGCTCTGCTTGAGAGTGCGATGGGTGCGGAGAGTACGAGACACACCAGGTACGACGACAGATTCGTTCAATCACCTTCAAAGATTGCTCTCATTATAAATCGCCCTGAAACTGGTTTCTTCGTACATTGAAATAGCGTGTACGAAGAGGAGGACTGAGAGCGTTGTGAACTGTGCTGTCAGTCAACGGTAGCAACCAACGGTGTAGTGCAGAATATGTAAGATTTGATGAGTGTCCATGACTGTTCGGTGAAAATGTCATTTACGTGTTGCAGAAAGGGGTTCCCCCACCCAATTTTGCTTTTCTTGAAGACTGAAATATCAATGTCATGGAAATATCGCGAATGAACTGCGAAACGGCAAAACCAAAAATAATGATTGCTCTCAATTTACACAATTTACACCATGCCTACTGTAACGTCTGCCTTTGCGCTTTCATTTTTGAACGTTCGACTTGTTCTTCATGGCAACAAAAAACTTTACAAATCGAGTCCTCGCACATAGAACTATCCTCATGAAGGAAGCGCAAGCATGAAGTCGTCAAAGGGTTATGCAGCCTATCGCGTATTTCATGATAAGATAGGCTGTTTGATAAAATCTTCGTGAAACCAGGTATGTTTTCTGGCACATTTTTGAAACCTCCACAAAAAAGAGAACATGTAGGAAGAAGATCATTCAGCCATTACGTAGCTAAAATTTTCCATTGCTTTACTGTGTGGTATTCGTGAGGGAAACCAAACAAATTTCGACCTTTCCACAGGTCATCATACAACTACGGCTGCAACAAGCTACTGAGAGCTGGAAAATTGTTGTAAAATCTCACGAATCGAAGAAAATCTTTTGGGGATCAAACCTCTTAAAGAGCAGAATCTATTGAAGGATAAGAGATAAAATATTAGACGTTCATCAAACCGTTTTGGGATGCGGCCACGCACTGATTCGAATTCTTGACACGAATACAGATGTGCAGGGTATGCTAAAAGGTTCAATACTCTCTGAAAATTCTAGTACCGATTCATCGACTGCGAGAGGATGAAGCCTTTGTGAGAGTCAGCATAGGAATGAATCCGAGATTTGACTGTGAAACCGTGCATGTGGATGGCGGCGCTACTTGCAAATGTCTGCCCATGCCAACCATCTGCCCCTCAAGTAATCAGTACATTGCCTTCCAAAAATAAAGAGAATTCACAAAGCTCCAGGTGCACCTCCCAAACTCACTGAAGCTAGACGCTGGTCGATATATACATACTACATATACAGTGGGGGAGCAAAAAAGTCACTTTGCCTTATGGCGCATATCATCGAACTTTTCGTCGCAAAGGATGCCGCTGTTATTGGGAGTTATACGGCGAATTATTCCTTAGATGTCCCCCATAAGCAGAATCAGGCCCACCTTCGCTGCTTCACCGTCTCCAGAATATGACGTCATCTGTCATCACCGTCGAGCTCAAGGAGGCCTACCATAATCGCTCCATTCTGAAGCTGCTACATAATTTCTTCAATCGGATAACTGGTGAATGGCTTCTTAGGACACTAGCTCTGACTATGCAAGATGGCTTTTGACCAGCGTTTCAGAGACGTCGTAATCGTCTATGGTTTCTCGACGACCTCGTTGAGCTCGTACCGTGCACCATGTTTCCGTGGGAAAATCTTCTGATGTCGTCGGTGTAGAAAGCCCTATGTAATTTTTTGATAGAATAGAATGTGCTCTTCAATATGCAATTGAGCTCATTCGGTTTGGTTTTGGCAAAGTGTAATTAATTCTGTTTTGAATGTGAGTGAGAGTGACTTTTTTTTTGCCCCCCCCCCTTCCCTGTACATGAAGAAGCTAGCACGTTATGTGGAGATTTTCCTGCAATGCTACTATGACTAGCTAGTCAAAGAATCATCATATTATATTATATTTTGAGGTCATTATGATATTTGGGATGGTGCATCAAAATTGCTCTGTCACTACCAAACCCATTTTTATGATGGGATTTTTTGTAAGCACACTCTTCTTCGTATGCATAGAACTACTCAGTTCTTCATTGTCAAGTGTGCCTTTTGGAGACATAATAAACTTATACTTATACTTTCACCATACTACGATGAAATTGTGGTATCATTAGAACAGCATTTTACCCAAATGCTTACAGCGGTTCAGGATGAAACCACGTTGATTCGTGGTGCTGTCCAATTTCGAAAATTGTATTCTTGTCGGAAGCTTTCGAGTATATCTGAGCACCATAGCGTTACGAACTCACTCTTATTACTGACTTCAGAGCCTCTGTTGTAAAGCGACTCAGCTTCCGTTGTTGTAGCTGATACAGTACTCTTATTTCGTGTTGTACGGTAATGATCATCATTGAAAACAACAAGATCTCATGGGCAGTTCGTTCGCTGATCAGTGCTGCCAGGCGGGGGGTCTGGGTGCGGTTCCGAACACCCCGTCTTCGTAAGCGAGGCAAAAACCGTTCCGTCACTGTCAGCTTGTCTCAAGGTATCTCGCACAGAATAGAACAGAGTCCGGCGACACATCACATGCCCCGACCTCGGCTATTCTTAGCACCGTCGGACACATTCTTAAAGTCGACTGACGGCCGACACCGACCCCAACTATCCCCCAATAGATTATCGTCTAATCGAACGCAAGTGAGGGTAGCCATCATAAGAACAATCGGGAAATTTGATCTCATGAATTTGACAAATGGCCGAATTAATAAAAGCGACTGAACCAGGAACGGCACCTAATATTGACACAGCCGGTTATTCGCGTTTTTGCACCATATTTAGCAATTTTGTCTAACGTGAAGTGGCAGTGTTAAGATACGATAGATGATTACACTCTAAGGGTTTCATAAAATCAGAGTTGTTGTTCAGGATGACGAAGAGTGACGTGCTTAAGGACCCCATATGAGACACTGAGACACTTCTTGGAGTAGGCCTTAGCTTGAGCGTGTGTGTTCTGCTTATGGTTCTAGCAGCAGTTTTGGGGTGCAACCATACTATGCCTCGTCAGTGCGGCTAGCTAGCACCAATGCGGTACTCGTTCACCGGAAGAAAACATGTCATGTGTATGCCACGAATCGAAAGAACTTTACTTCCACGGATGTAGAGCTATTGTAAGTGCGAAGAATCGACTCCAATAACCGAGCTTCCTTCCTTCCAGGAATCTGTAGTTATCTTCATAATCGGTCTTTTTCGGACCTTGCATTTCATCTTCGAGCACAATAGCGGCATCTCGGTACGGTCTGTCCGTAGCGAAGGAAAGTCACATGGCAGCGGCTCCCGCCGGTCTACATTATTAATGTCGAAAAAGAGGGGTTACCCTTCACAGCGTTTTCTAGTGAGCTGATTGGCGTTTGATGTCTACACTTTAATTCTTCAATACTATCCGAAGCGCATGATAAGTGCTTTTTTGAAGGTGACCGACGTGAGAGGTTGCTGTCCAGGCGCTAATAATTGGTGAGCACGTGACTCATCTCCCGTTAGTGTTGAGTGCAAAATCAGTCATGTTGTCTCAACCAGAGTAACGATGCCCAAAACGCGGATGACGTGTGGTCCAAGGTTCGCCGAAGGAGAACTGCAATTGTTCATCTCGAGTGTTGTAGAGGGAACATTCCGCTCATCACATAC